TGGCGACAACGCGTATGTTGTGACACAAAGAGTCCTTCCCCGAGTCTTCCAAGACGATTTTGCCTTTGGAAGAGTTTTGGAAGACGACAAGAAGGCTCCCAGTGTGTTTATCAATGACGTGAAAGTTGGTGAGATCCACGCCATCTTCTCTGAGAGTAATGTACTTGGGACTCCCTCTACTATTCATTTATTTCAAGCGTTGAGCCAAGTCGTTTTAGAACAAATTGATAGGAAATGCCCTGCGACATTTGTCTTCCAAATTCTTGTGGTTGCTGCGACAAGTAACAAAGACCGTGCTGAAGACGTTTGGGAAACGATTTGGAAGAGCCTCTCACCACTCTTTAAAAAGTGCTGTTTACATCCGGACGAAGACGTTTCGATGGGCGCAGTGGACTGTTTGAGGCAGATAGTCTCCCTCTTTATAACAAAGAAAGAGGAGAACAGCAAGAACCAGAGAAGTTCGTTTGAACCATTTTTGTGGACGGTGTCGGATCATGAGAATGAAAAGGTCAAAGAATTTGCACTGACGTGTATCCAAAACATGAGCAGTCTTCCTTGTTTTGTGGAGAACATGAAGAGTGGGTGGACCACTTTGTTTGAGTGTCTTCGTTTCTCTGTCGAATTTAACATGACAAGGAAGACCGGGTTTGAGATCTTAAAAAAAGTGTTTTGGGCGAACTGGACTGAAATCGAACGGAACTTTGTGGTCGTGACAAACACCATTGAAGAGTTCAGAAAGGTCATGGAAGGAAGCGAAGAAAACAGAGAAGGATATCTTAAGGAAATTAGTCGTATGTTAGGGGAAATTTTAACACGGAAATTACAGAAGAGTCTTTCCACGAGGGAAGTCCCCAGTGCCGTCCAAAGAGCAACAAAAAGTGAAGAAGAGCGTGTTGAAAAAAAGACTGGTCTAATACCAATGAAAGTGACTTCGCTGGAAGACACGAGTCTTTTGTATATGACTGATATGATCACTGTATACAATTGTATAGTACTTTGTATCACTTCAAAGTATCACACTGTAGCAGAAGATGCACTCTTTATATTACGGACTCATTTATTAAGTCTCCCAAAGAACCTTTTGGATGTTGTCTTCTTTAAGACACTTTACTGCTGTTTTTCACCGGAATTGCCGGATAAAATGACTAAGATAATGCGGTTGTTGTATCAGGTGACGTTGGAGTTGCCATTCCACTTAGTTCCCCCTGTTGTGTCATTTGGGTATAACGTGTTATTAAACAGCGAAGTGTGCTGGGAGTCCACAAAAGTGTTTTTCAGCATCTTAGTGAAAGACGAGAAGTTCAGAGAGATATCAGAAATGTATTATTTAGAGCAAGAGAAGTATTTTAAGTGTGTTGTGGACTCTCTGCGAGGGATTTCATCGAGTGTATTCCACGAGGATATCTGTGAGCACAAGCCAAACATTGTTTCTTGTGAGGTTTGTCATCGAGAGTTTATTAGGCACTTCATGGCACAATGTGGGTGTGGAGAACACGTCTACTGTGAAGAGCACAAAGTCAACGAACACTCGAAAGAGTGTGTGAAGAGATGGAAGAAGTGGCGAATAGAGCAAAGTGGGATGAGTACGATATCGTGTAGAGGTTTAGTCGAGTACTTTGATGTGATTTCCTTAATGGACGTCAACGCGACTGTGTTGAAGCAACTTGGAAATTTGTGGAAAAGTTTGTTTGAGACATTAGAAAAGCTTCCGATGAAGACGGTTGCAAAGTCTTATGAGAAAGTTGTCTTTGCGATATTCAAAACGCACATCGCGGCATTAAAAAGTTACGAGGACATTGCCTTCACGTTTTTAAAGGAAAGTGCAAATCAAATATTTTCATTTTACTCGACAAACGGATTTGTCTTGTGCAACTCAAAGCCCATCATTCTATATGTGTTGGAACAACTCAGTTCATTGGAGGGAGACACATTTTTAAAAGTCATCAACGCAGTCTTTGACACGTTAGTAGTGTTAATCAGTTCTGATGACTTAGATGTTCGGAAAGGTGTTGTTGGTATAATCAAGAAGATTCATTTCTTGAACCCAATACACTGTTGATGCTAATTTACTTTTTTATTATAATTATAATTATTATTATAGTATATATTTATTAATATATTTATCAATATTATTAATTATAATATTATAGTATATAATTATTAATATTTTTATTATTGATATAATTCAAATAATCATAATTATATTTATTAATATAAATATAATATATTAATTGTAGTTTGTTTTAATAATAAAATTTTAATAAAGTGTTTCAATTGAATGGTTAAAGTTTAAACCTTCAAGATATCATCCATGTGTGGATACACAGGGAAAGTCCTTGGTATAAATCTCTTATGTGAGTTTCTATTATGGACTCTTCTTGCCATTGCGCCCCATCTTTCAAATTCGTCTTTACCTTCTTTGTCAAGAGCTTCAATGAATGTTTTCTGGTCTTCTTCTTTCATTAAAAGGTACTCTGTGAACAACTCGACGAATTGATAAGAAAAGCCTAACTCGTCCTCGTCTGTTTGTCCGACCCAAAGATCTGCAGAAGGAACAGCACCCAATATGACTTCTGGCAATTTAAGATAAGCGCCGACTTTATATACTTCACTCTTGTGTAAATCGGAGATCAAACTTAAGTCGACCAATCCGTCGCCGGCTTTGCAGTAATAAAGGATGTACCCGTCCTCGTCGAAATTGCCAGTCCCCATAACGATACTTGGGATCTTTGCCGCACTCATTAACTGAGCGACGTAATACGCTGTTGGTGTTCTCATGTAACTTCTGAGCTGTCCATCAGCAAATTGATTTCCTTTCATCCCAACAGAGGATTCGACAAGTGCGTGTAAATCGTCAAAGACTTTTGTTTGGTCGATTGTCTTGATTTCAATACCCAAAAATTCACAAATGATGAAGGCCTTGTTTTGAATGTTTTGAGTCGAGTGGATCGGCTGAGCTAAGCAGAGAACTTTTTGAATTGGACTCTCCGGCATCTTTGACGCATGCACACATAACGCCGCAGTCACTGAGGAATCAATTCCACCAGAACAGTTCAAAATAATCCCTTTCAAGCCACACTTTTTGAAGTAGTCGTTTAACATGGTGCATTTCTTCTCAACCCAATCAGCCGGGTCAAACGCTCTTTTTGCTCGAATGATGTCAAGTTGTTTCTTTAAACCAGTCGGGAGGGGGAATTTGGTCACGTCCATCTTTGAATGTGTTAAAAAGTTATGAGGTTTTTAATAAGAATAATGACGTGGAAATATTAAATTGTGTTTTCTGTGGTATTATTGTGGTGTGTTATTTCTTTGTTAATACTTTAAATAATGATGGTTCATTGTGTAAGAATAATTAAAGAAAAATTTAAGCAAGTTTGTCTTACACAACATTAATTGTTTATAATATAAAGCTTTAAAGTAATTTAACGGGTTAATATATTTAAAATAAAAGTTAAAAGTAAACATCATGCAAAATTTACTTCAAGGTTTTGAGCAGGATTTTTTTTATTACAAAGAATCAAACTCAATAAATATGTTATTTAATTTTACTATAAAAATATTATTAATAATTAAATTAGTAAGTAATTTATTTATAAGTTTTATAAAAAAAAACAATTGTTTTAGTAAATAAAGACATAATATAATTTTTTTTTGGTTTTGTAAATGTACACTCACCTTTCTATATTTATTAGTGTAAATAATAATTATTTGGTTTTATTAAGTTAGATTATTGTTCAAATTAGTATTTAAAAATTTTTAATATAAGTTTATTTTTTGTAAAGTCTATGTGTCTAA